CCCCAAAACCCCAAAACCCCAAAACCCCAAAACCCCAAAACCCCATATAAGTGATCTCCACTTGGCCTATACATTAGATTAATTACAAATAATGGAATTCAGATACTCACATTATCTGGGAGAGCTGCACTCGGTGGGATTTGATGAAGAACTCTGCCTTAGTTATGCTGAAAAGATCAATATTCAAGATCTCAATGAGACTAGATTGATAAAAAGCTGTACCTCTGATAGGAATTCACAGACAAGCGATTTTTGTAGTCTAAATGAGTTATCAGCCTCTATTTGGAGTACAGACTTGACGAATGTAGAGGAACCTAATACTAGTATCTCCACTACTACATCATATAATGACAAATCTAAACTTGAAGAGATGAAAAACAGCTGCACTTACTTTCGCGACATACTTGATAATAGCCAGAAATACTCCACTAAAAAAACAGAGAGCCAACCCAAGACTCAGTCCTTGGAGAGTAATAGATATCACAACTCTGATGAAATTGGTCCGAAAAGTATCAGAAAAGAGGAAGTTCCTAGCTCTCATGAGGAGTTCATAGAATCTATCAAGGAATGGAAGTACTCAAAGAGAAGTGACACTATGTTCATTTCAATGAACAGGAAGGTTGGACTCTCTTACTACCACATGCTAAATAAAGCTAACCCAGGATTTAAACGTAATTACAAATTCAGGGATAAGGACTACAGCAAGTTGAAGGAGGTATATGATAAGGAAATCCTTCCTTTCTTACGTGATGGAACACCAGAGGCTGATAACAAGGTACATTTCTTAGTTTTCCTTGCTTTTGTTTGCAGTGATAAACTTAGTTATTTGATTACAAAGCTAGTCAACGCCAATCGCTTATCCGGAGATATGGAAAAGTTATTGAAATCTCAATTTATGCTAGATCATCCACAAAATTGAGATGAAATAATACCTAAATTCGGTATAAGAGGTAAATCTTTGACCAAAGTATTCAAAAAACTAATGAGTAGAAACTATTGCTTTAGAATCATGATTTTGAAGCTTCTACAATCACCTGAACTCTATGCGAAGATTGCTGATGCTAAGAACCAATCCCCAAAGAAGAGATCTTCCAAGAAGGCAAATGCCAAGACAAAAAAGAACAAAAGATCCCCAAAGAGCTTAAGAAAGAAGGGCCAAGAATAAATAGCTAATTGATCACAATTCGGTAGAACTGATTCAGTTTCTCTCGTTGGGGCTTTAGATTAGAATAAAATTATTTGATTCTGACCAAATTCTGAAATTGTGGTTTATTAATTTTCGTCAAAATTTCCATTGAGCTGGATGAGTAAGGGGTTTTGGGGTTTTGGGGTTTTGGGGTTTGGGGTTTTGGGGTTTTGGGG